ACCTTGCAAAGTACTATGATTTATAACAAATATGGGACCAAGTGAACTTTCTAGTTGCAATATGAATGGACTTTCATCTACAGCAGAACCTCAGAGTTACGAACACCCCGGGAGTGGAGGTTGTTCATAACACTGAAATGTCCGTAACACTGACCAAAACATTATGGTTGTTCTTCCAAAAGTTTACAACTGAACATTGACTTAATACAGCTTTGAAACTTTACTATACAAAAGAAAAACGCTGCTTTTAACCATCTTAATTTAAATGAAGCAAGCGCAGAAACAGTTTCCTTACCATGTCAAATCTTTTTTTAAGCTTACATTTAACACAATACTGTACTGTATTTGCCTCCCCCCCCCCCCCCACGTCTCTGCTGCTGCTGAATTGCATACATCCAGTTCCAAATGAGGTGTGTGGCTGACTGGTCAGTTCAGAACTCTGAGGTTCTCCTGTAGATTTGATCTCTAATACTTCAAACGCATTTCACAATGTATTCAGCACCTTAAAGTTACAAAATTAAATCTACCTCTTAGAGTGTGTTAAGCATACAGAGCACAGGAATGCGCACACATCTACAATAAGTTTCCCCCAATTCTTTGCATCAAAAAGTTTGCTAGCAGATTAACAATTGAGAGAGATCAAGCAGCTGATCAGGGGCACATTAAGTTATTTTGAGATACTCAGAGTTAAGAGATGCAAAAATTAATTTCAATATTAAGATTTTAAAATACACCAATATGGTTCACTTGTAAATGACAGTTTAATGTTCACTTATGTGTAAATACTATGCTTTCTGAACAAAAACAATTTGGGCCATTTTAATTATAGACAACACTTGAGTTACAACAGATTTCTCATTAAAAAAACAAACAAAACACACACCTGAGCTTTGGTAACCAGATTTACAAAAAAAAAAAGAAATCTGTTCCGTAAGTGACAGAGATGTGTAAACCCCTCCATGCATGGAGAAGAGCCATTCAGCTACATGGAGAGCCACACCTTTTCCCCTAATTACAACTTACCAAGTTTTTCCACCAACTTCAGCATAACCCCTCCAATGTGCACCTCCCCTGTGACTCTCAGGGTAACATCTCTGTTCAGGTCCGTCACATGGACATTTAACTCCCACGTCCCATCTGCATAGCAGCCATCTGGCATCCTTATACCGTCCAAAGCCATCGTTCCTTCTTCCTGTGAGAGCAAAGGAAATGGCATTCATTAGCCAACAGAAGGGCTTGCTCAGGGGATGGGTCTCTTCCCTCCCGCACAATCTAGAAAGTAAGAGTTCCCTAATGGAAAAATCTCATTTAATCTCGTCACGATAAATTGCAAAGCAAAGGAGAGAAAAGAAAATCTGTGCGAAGGGATACATGCCCAGGGAACTGGAGCTCCCCACCCAGGGCTGCAAAGAAACATCACAGCTCACAACAGGGTTCCGTTTACAAAAAAATCTGAGTTATGCAATGGACACGGGTGCAGAAAGCACATTTTGTCTGACTGCCACCAAGTGCATAACTTCCAACTACACAACTACAGCAACAAAAATGCAAGCCGAAGAGAGCGAGAAGCAGGAGTATCTGTCCTACACTGCATAAGAAAACAGTTCCAGCAGATTTACATCTGCATCACAGGAGTCACTAGCATTTTCCTAGGTCTTCCTTAATACTCCCAAGCCTCTCATCGCTCCATTGTGCAGTCATTCCCCCCCCCCCTTCGTGACCGGCAAACACTTGTTAACCCCTTGCTTGGATTTCCCCCATTTGCTACTTATTCCCGCTACTCACCCTCTTTGGAAGAGCTGCTAGAAATTGCTTTGTTTAAGGCAGCAAACTCCAATAAAGCTGATGCAGCAGCAGGGATGTGCGTGCCTGCGTATGTATCCACAGGCAGGACACTGGGTTGGATTCTCAAATCCTCCTATACTGCATAATGGGGGCAGGGAAATGGTAAAGCCCTGGGGCTCCCACGGGTGTGTGTGTATGTCCCCTCAGTGCCACACACACACACACACACCACTCAGCTGCCTCCAATCGGGGACCCCCTCAGTCGTCCCCCCCACACACACTGCCTCCAATGGGGTCCCCCCTCAGTGCCACACGCACACCCCGGCTGCCTCCAATGGGGTCCCCCCTCAGTCCCCCCCACACACCCCGGCTGCCTCCACTGGGATCCCCCTCAGTGCCCCCCCGTACCCCCGGGCTGCTCCAATGGCGGGAGCGGACCGAGCGGCCCCAGGGCCGGGCTGCGGCTGGGTTCAACCCCCCCCTCGGCTCCAAAGGCCGCGGCTCACCTCCGCCTCGGCGCCTGGAGCCCGGCTCGGCCCGGGCCGTCCGGTCCCGCAGGAGCTACTCGGGAGCTGTCCCTCCTCCTCCCCGCGCCGCCCGACCGCGTCCCCTGCCCCCCAGAGCCGCTGCCTAGGGGCCGCTGCGGGCGGGGGGCGGCTCCAGCCCAATGCCGAGGAGCCGCTGCCCTTTTATGGAAGCGAAGGACGGAGCGCGGGGCGCGGAGCCAACATCCGGGCCTGCAGGAGGGGCCGGCCCGGGACCCCCGGCGGGCACCGAGCCTGGCTGCGGGGGGAGGAGGCGTTGGGGGATTGAGGGGGGGGGGTCATGGGGACTGTGAGGGAGAAGGGGCATAGTGGGGGTCACGGGGGCTGTGGGGCTGGAAGGACCCGTGGGGATGGGGGCGTTGGGGCAGGGAGTGGAGATCATGGGGGTTTGGGGGCAGAGAGGGGGTGTGGGGGTCACAGGGGCAGTGAGGGGGAGAGGGGGCGATAGGGGACGGGGATGAGGGTCATGGAGGTCGTGGGGGTGGGGGCATTGGGGCAGGGACGGGGAAAGGGGCTGGGGGTCATGGGGGCAGAGAGGGGGTATGGGGTGGGGGTCATAGGGGTGTTGGGGCACAGAGGGGGAGAGGGGGCATTGGGGAAGGGATGAGGGTCATGGAGGCTGTGGGGGTGTTGGGGCAGGAAGGGGGAATGGGGGTGGGGGGCATGGGGCAGTGAATGGGAGAGGGGGGAATAGGGGAAGATGATGGGGGTCATGGAGGCTGTGGGGGCTTTGGAGCAGGGAGGAGATGGGGGCCATGGGGCCTGTGGGGGGAATGAAAGGGGGCATGGGGAGCATGTGTTGGGGATTTGGGGTGTCACAAGGCTGTGTGAGGGGAATGCAAGGAGACGGGAGGAGGAGGCATTGGGTATTTGGGAACCATGGGGGCTATGAGAGGGAATGAAAAGGGAAGGGGGTGCTGGGGATTTGGGAGGGTCATGAGGGCTGTGGGAGGGGGTAGAAGGGGATGTTGGGGACTTGGGAGATCATGGGGAGAGGGAAGGGGGACATGCAGGACTGTCCGGGAAGTGTTAACAAGGGAAAATGGGAGCAAAGGGGCCAGAGGACCAGTTAGGGGACAGGGATGTGTGGGGCATAGGAGAGGGGTTGTGGGGAAGCAGGACGTTGGGGTGGGGCGTGGGGGCTGTGGTATATGCTCTTTGTGCCTGGACAGTGTGGTTATTTGGTGCTTTCCAACCACTCAGAGCAGTGGTTCTCAACCTGTTTACCACTGTGGGCCGCAGGTTGAGAACCACAGTGTGTGTTGTCCCCGTCTCCCTCCCCCGTCCCCCCCCCCACAATCCCTCCACAATCCCTTATGCCTAGTGCCCCCGCCAAGAGTGGGGCCAGGAACAGAGCACTTGGCCAGGCAGCCGGGACCTGGACCCCCACGTGGGACTGGGCATCTGGACGCTGGACCCTGCAGAGGGGCCAGACACCAGACCCCTATGCGGGGCCGGACCCTGGGACCCCGCTGTGCGGGGTCGGTTCTCCAGACCCGGAAGTGCGGGGCCGGGCATCCGGTAGCTGGACCCACACCCTGGAACTGGGCAGCCGGAGCCAAGGATCCTGCAACACGGGGCCAGGCAGCCAGAGCCCTGGTCCCTGCTGCATGGGGTCTGGCAGCTGGACCTGGGACCCCACTGGGTGGGGCTAGGCAGCCAGACCTCGGGACCCTACCGTGCAGGGCCAAGTGTTTGGACCCCGGGCAGCCTGCAGTCGGACCTGGACACCCTCCCACCTCGTGTGGGGCCTAGCAGCTGGACCCAACCCCTGCAGCTGAGCACCACCTGAAACCTGGCGGTAGTGCAGCACCCCAGCAAAGCTCTAAATCCCAGTACCCCCCATCCCCTCACTGCCCTGAGCCTCCCTCCCCAACCTACCCATTGACCCAATCTCTCCCACTCCCTGCAGCACTCACCAGCCCCCTGCTGGCAGCAGCACTCCTGCAGGCTGCCTTACTCTTTCTCTCCCCTTCTGCCAGCCCCGCCCCCTGCCAGATCCAGGGCCGTCTTTAGGCATATGCAGCTGTGTAGGGCACCAGCCCCGGCGACCAGCTGCATCCCTCGTCTGGTCCCCCTGGAAGGGCCAGGGCCATCCCTGAGGGGGGCGTGGGGCCCTGGACAACTCCCTCTACCCTGCCTCTTACCCTTCCCCCCTGCTCCACCCCCGGTCCGCTCCCATTCCGCCTCTTCCCCCAGCGACCCCGCACTCACTGGCACCGGCGGGAAGTGGAGAGACCCGGCCCCAGCCTGCTCCACTTCCCTTGCCCCAGCCCCAGCCATGTCGTTCAGGTTGGGGAAAGGACCGCCCCAGGCTCTCACCAGCGGCGGGAAGCGGAGCGCCGCGGCTGAGAACTGGCGGAGTAGAGCGGGCTGGGGGTGGGCTGCTCTGCTTCCCGCTGCTGCCGGTGAGTGGGGGATCCCTTCCCCCAAGCCCCCTCCCCTGAGCGACACAGGTGGGGGCCGGGGCGAGAGAAACGGAGCGGGCTGTTCCCGGCCCCCTGCTAATCTCCGGGGCCACTGTGGGGCCTCCAAAAGTGGCCCTCACACTCCTGCCTCACAGACCGGGGAGGCCTGCAGCACCACACAGCCCAGCCGCAGGGGGGGCTGCGTAGGGCACCCATAGGGTGACCAGACAGCAAGTGTGAAAAATCGGGACGGGGGTGGGGGGTAATAGGATCCTATATAAGAAAAAGACCCAAAAATCAGGACATCTGGTCACCCTAGGCACCCAAATGGCTAGGGTCGGCCCTGGCCAGACCAGTGTGGATTTTGGATTTTTTTTTAGCACACAGATGTGTGCTAATTGGGCCGCATGCAGCCCACGGGCCGCAGTTTGAGAACCACTGAGTCAGAGAGATCCATGGATCAAGTTGTTTGTGAGGGGTTTGGGGTGTGATGGACTGAAATGTCGACCAGTCTAGGCTGCCAACGGACTGGCGTGACAACCTGGCTTTCAAGGAAATAAAGGACTGCCTGAAAAATATGAGGGTGAAAGGCAAATTGTCTGCTTCCCATTTGGCCCCCGTTTTAAATTAAGCAAGGACCTGCTTTTAGAAAACCTTATAGCAACACAAACTGCCTTCCCCAGTTTGTACTTTAACACAGTTGCTTAAAAACAGCATTCCCACAAAATTCCAATGGAAATATGTTTTGAAGCAAACAAATAGTGCCCACGTGGTGGTGTGTGAAAGTTGCAGGCTACAGCAAGTGGGAGCTGAAAGTGAAACTGACCATAAGCAAAACTGGATTCACTTTTATTGTTATGCACATTGTGGGGACACCCACCGTAAGTTAGGCGCTTTCCAAACTCAGAGGAAGACGGTCCCAGCCACAAAGAGCTTACAGTGTAAAAACGACAAACTATAAGGGAAAGGGATGTAGTACGCAAGCAGAGTGATGAATTGCGTGTTTCGCTGTAGCTTATTTTTAGATTTCCCTCTGATCATCCTCCCTTCACAGGTTAGCCCTCTCTGCTTTCGCCACAGCATTTCCTACCTTCAAATCTAGTGGTCTTTTATGCCCCTCTGTACCTGTACCTCCCTCATAAAGATGACCCTAGTCAATCATGTGATAAGTAAGTGAAACAGTAAGTAGATGGCTTAGGCCCAGATCCTACAGACTTTTAAACTTTGCAGGCTTAATAAACGGAAAATTATATCGAGCTAACTATATGTATTAGGGTTGTGATTTTTTTAAGTAAGTTATACCAGTACAGACCTATTGTGAACACAGTCATATCCATATAAAGATGTAGCTTATTGGTCTTCCTGTGTGGAAATGTGAATTGGTGTAAGCATTTTTATACCCTTATAACTGTCATAAGAGGAGAGTTGTACTGCTTTAACTATAGCAGTGTAGTTCAAGCAGTTTAGACAAATCCTAAACTAGTTTCCTGTGAGTGTGTGGCAGAATTTTATCTGCAGGAAGGATTTAAGAGAGGAGAGGGAAGTGGTTTTGTGGGCTGATCCCAAAAGGGTGTTTTTTCTATAGAGCTGCTTGAAACTTTATTTTGTGTTTGTGGGAATTTTGAAAGCATGCTCATGCCATTGTTCTTATTTCTAAATTAACCAGTTTTTCATTTTCTGCAGTTTTTTTTTAAATTATTTTTTTCCATTTTCAAAATCAACAGTTTTCAAAAAATAAAATGATCAAATTTCTAATTTTTTAAAATGTATATAAAATAGATCAGATTTTTGCATTATAGACCCCTCTTCTTTTTTCAGTTGGTCATAAATTGCTGGGACGGAGAGGGAGAATGTTTGGAGCTGAAACTTTCCATGCTTAGGCTTAGCTCTAAAGGTGACTTTCTTTTCTTTTTTTTAAAGAGTGAGCTAAATTGTTTTTGGATTGTGAGCAATTGGGGTGGGTAGAAACACTTTCCTACTCTAAGAAATTTTTCCCACCTTTCTGTGCGTGTTTGTGCGCGCGCGCATACACACACAGTGTTTGAATTAGGCCATCCGTGGATAATTTAGGCAATCTTAATATACCTAGGCATAAGAATAGCCAAATTATCATTACTTCAAATTCATGGCAGATCAGAGATCATTGTGCAAATCTGTATTTTAGATTATGTTTCATACAACATATGGCACAACCTTCAGCATGTATTATCTTGGAGCGGTTCACATGTCCCCCCATACATGTATTCAGTAATTCAGATATGCAGAAACTGTAAACATATAACAGATAATGATATCTAGATGTCATTCCTAGAGGACTTGGAGGGGTATAAGGAAAATAATTTTTTTAACTATTTCTTAGTAGGCAAAAACTTCTCCTTAGTATAAGATTCTATGGTTAGAGCCCTGCAAATCTGCAGATATCCACAGACCATGTTTGTGGATTGGATGCAGATACAGATTTTGTATCTGTGCAGGGCTCTATCTATGGCCCATGTTATGCAGGAGGAGAGACTAGACTAATTGTTCCTTCTGGCCTAACACTCTATGAACTAGGAACTGTATTTAAATTAGAGTTTGAATTGACATGAAAGCGGAAAAAAAAGAAATTCTCTGCTCCCTTTACTCCACCATCCAATGATACACATGTCCCAACAAGGCTACTAACTAGGCAATATAGTCTGGGGTGACCCTAGCAGGATGTCAGACTGATGGGCTTTAGGCTGCGCTGTTCTTCATAAGAGAAAACAGGAGAAGGGAGGGACTCAGACACCTCTCAAAGGTCCTTTTGTGTCCAAAAACTTTTTCCCCACCAGCTTCCAAGAAGGTCTTTCCTTTAGAAAGTATATTCTCTAGGAAAGGCGTGTGGGCTTCATCCTGCACCATTAAAGTTAGTCAGAGTTTTTCCATTGATGTGAATGGATGCAGGATCAAGCCCTATAATAGAGGCTTTAATCTGTTATAGCATTTTTACTATTACTATTACAAAAATTAGTCATGTAAGATATGTCTACACAGCATCTTGGAGCGCACCACACAGGCCGAGTCCACAGCCTTTTGGTGGTGGGGCTCACACCAGCACACTAAACAAAAGACGTAGATGGTGCTTTGATATTAGCTTGTGGGGTAGGCTTTAGAGCCAAGCTGCAGCCCAAACGGCAACGTTAAAGCAATGTCTGCATAGCTGTTTTGAGCATGCTAGTGCAAGCTGTGCTGACATAAGTCCAGGCCCAGGCTGGCTGGGAGGTTTGTTCCCCGATGCAGTGTAGACAAACCCATATAGGTTTATAACTTTTTTTTCCTGTTTCCCCTGTAGCCTTACAACAACTGTGGTTTCTGGGAGCCTCTAAACAAGTCATCCTCAACCCTCTCAAGGTCTGTGTACCTAGCCCTCTGCTTTGTTCGGAGACTTGCAGAATTTTGTTTACATGGTGAGTGACTAAGAAAAAGGAGCAATTGTTTTAACATTTAGATGTTTCGAAACATTGCATTATGTTGAGTTGTTCCAAACTGAAAACACTGGGGTAATAGTTATTACACATGGGATAGTGTCAATTTAAAAATTTGGCCTAGATCTTGAGTTGGTGTAGCTCTGTTGAAGCAAATAATGCTGTAGCCTTGTCAGCTTCATACTATGGTATGGATGGGCCATTGTATTCCTGTACAAATTTTGCATGTTTGTTTGAATGAAATTGGACAAAGCTCTGATCTGTACAGTCTTATAACTTAGTCTTGCATAGAGCTGTTGTATGACATTTCCCCTAATACTTTTCCTTTCCTCCCAGAATTTTGTGGTTCAACCATGTGAGCTTAGATATGCAGTCAGTCTTATCTCAAATCCTCTACTGAAACTCAAAAGCAAGATTGAAAATGTAAAGCTGAGGCACTTGCGTCAGCAGCAGTAAAGTAGCTGTGAGCTCTTCTCCCTGTTCCTAACAACTGCTCGCTCTTGAAAAGCAGCAATAGCCAAATAAGGTGCCGAAGCACAGGACCGAGATTTAGACATAAATGATACCTACCAGATCTGCCTTCAGTTTAGCTCCCACGCCTGACACTTCTTGTGGACTTCTGCCTTTTCTTTCTGCAACTCGAAGTAGAATGCTTTCTCTGTGACTCTGCGGGCAGTTTTATTTAGAAAACAGCTATCCTCGCTGGCGCTGGTTGGACTCTGCAACAATTGGTTCGTTAGATAAATATAGCCCACTTTTCTGTTTATAAACAATACAACCCAAAATCTTGTTTGCTCAAATGTTCATAAGTAGCAAATTTAACAGGACACAGACCTGCTCAAAGGAAACCGCTGTTTCGAATCCTAAGGAATGTTCATGAACACTGCACTATTCGCCCAACTCTAGATTGTTGCCTTTCTATCTGAGCTGAGTTTACTCTTCAGCAAAGGCAACATTTCTGAAAAATCCTAGAAAGGAGAAGACAGGAGCAAGCTTTTTCTCCGTGGCGTTTTTGCATTTGTAATGTGTTATTTCCTATATGCTTTTAATAATAATTATTAAAATAATCATTTCGTTTGTGTGTTTATATTTCCCTTACATAACACCTTCCATCTGAGGATTTCAGAGTGCTTTACAGACTTCATTTAATTAGCTTCAACCATTACTTTCCTCCCTCAGAAAGATTTTGAAACAAAAATGTAATACTGAGAGTAAATTCGGAAGAGTAGCAAGTAAAAAGAGCTTAGGCATGGGAATAATAGCACCCACCCCAATCAGATAGAATGAGAATCAATAGAAGAAAATTCTGCAGCTGTAAGTGGTTTAGCAGATCTGCTACATTGCTCCCTGTCCCTCAAATATTCCACCAAGCCCTCCTCCCCTAACAATGCCCCTGCTGACCACTGAGAGCTAGGGTTCCTTTCCCTCCAAGGGAATTACTGCCTTGTCCAAGTACTCTATGCCCTGGTCTACACTGGGTGTGTGTGTGTGAAATTGATCTAAGTTACGCAACTTCAGCTACGTGAATAATGTAGCTGAAGTCGACATACTTAGATCTACTCACCGCGGTGAAGACACCGTGGTGAGTCGACTGCTGCCGTTCCCCCGTCGACTCCGCCTGCGCCTCTCGCAGTGCTGGAGTACAGGAGTTGACGGGAGAGGGCTCGGGGCTCGATTTATCGCATCTAGACTAGATGCGATAAATCGATCCCCGCTGGATCGATCGCTGCCCACCCATCCGCTGGGTAGTGTAGACATACCCTCAGATTGCAAAACCTGCTTTCTGTGAGCCCAGATGATCTCTGCAGCCTGTTTATATTCTGCTGCCCACTTATTTCAACAGCACTGACACACGGTTGAACTTGAGTGCCGTTGTCCCTGTGATTGACTGGAACACCTTGCAGGGTGGAATGCAGCAGCATATAAACAGAGCTAACCGGTAATATGAAAACCCTACTCTTAAACCTTGCATGGGGGGCAGGGGGAGGAAATCGCTCCATCTATTTCCTGGTGACTGTCTGGCATGAGAGTACTTGCCAGAAGTTCATAGTATTACTGACAAGAGCTGGTGAATAGTGAAAAATTTTTGAACATGAGAGCTCATTTGGTCCAGCCAGATTAGTCCGCTTTATACTTTACCATTTCACAGATGTTTGTATGACTGATTTTTGTTCACCTGAATATTAGGGGAGAGTCTTTTATTCTTGTGCTCAAGCGCATTCACTGCTCTGCCTACATACATAATTATTCAAGGGCACTGTAACAGAAAGGAAGGATTGGCTTGCGGTTAAAACACTGGACGGGGCGTGGGAAATTTTGTTTCTAGCCCCAGCTTGGTCACAGGCTTCTTGTGTAACCTTGGGTAAATCACTTATCTCTGCATGTGTCAGTTCCCCATCTGTAAAATGGGAATAATGCTACTTCCTGTCTGGTTTATCTACTTAGGACATAGACGGTCTCTTACTGTGTTTTGTACAGTGTGTAGCACGACAGGGCCTTGATCTCAAGTGCCCCTAGATGCCACTGTATTACAAATCATTAATAATAATTTTGACACAAGAAAAATAAGTGTGAAATCTATTAGACCGACAATAAATCTGGTTGGTGTCTTCCTTAGGAAGGAGCTCAGTTATATTTAAATATGAATCTATAGCTATAATAATGATGCTTAGCTTGTATATAGTAAGATCTCATCAGTAGAACTTAAGTGCTTCAGCCAAATACGTTCTCTCTTATGCAATAGGTCAGGAAAATATTTTAAATATCCCAACGTTTCCTAGGCCTTCTCATCTTCTACAGCTCTCACCACAAAAGGGCCCCATGGGCTCTGCCTGCCTCATTCAAAGCTCTAATGGTTTCTTCAGGCATCACCATTGTTTATAAAATGGAACAGAAACCATGCCTTCTGACAACCAAATACCTACTTCAAAATACTGAATATCCAAAGGATCGCTTGCTACAGACAGTTCATGAAAACCCAACCAGTTCTTCAACAGTGTGTTAAACATTGACAAATTGTCATGGACAATTCCTGAACAGAAGACAGGGCCAAATTCTGCCAATAAATTGTTCATAACAAATAGTTTGAACAGCTCTAGTGGCTACATTTAGTTTAGATTTTTCAGACATTTTACTGTCGAAGTTAATCTTCAGTTTAGTTCCTTTGTCTTTCATGTGCTGTCATATGGAAACTATGTGAGCTTGCACTTCCAACACTAGCTCCAAAATCACGAATGCTAGAGAGTGGGGCTGTTGCAATTTCCCAGAAGGGAGTCAAGTTGTGGGCTTCAGCCAAACCACCTTGGGTCAGACGTGATTGATACTCTCTCTCAAAGGAAAGCCCATAGAATCACAGAGTTTAAGTCCTGATGGAACCATTATGATCATCTAGTCTGAGCTCTTGCATAACACAGGCCAAAGAATCTCACCGACTGGTTCTTGTATTAAGCTCAAATTCTGTTTGAGCACTGAAAGACACTGTGCCTTGATGTAAGGATGTCAAATGAGAGAGACTCCACCTCCTCCCTAGTTGTTCAAGTAGTTAATTACCCTCACTGTTAAAAACTGCACCTCGTATGTGATTTGTCTAGCTTCAGTTTCCAAGCACTGGTCTTGTTATGCCCTTGTCTGCTAAATAAAGAGTCCTCTCAGATCAGAAATGATCTCCTCATATGCTGCAGGAAGTGGTGCTGATGTTTGAACAGGTTGCAACACTGCCCTAATGATATAGCACAGGGATTCTTAACAGTGAACCATCTCTTCAGAGAGATAGTTGTGTGGACAGATTCCTCTCCTGTTGACAGTCCCCTAGGACTGCCTTCCCCCTCTTTACAACAGCATAACATCTCCAGGGAAACTACAGCAATGACTTACTTGGAAACGTAATATTAAGATGGTATTTGTATATTCTTTGCTGGGATCTAGGAGGAGAGCCAGCATTGTTTCACCAGCCACCTTGGACCACAGTTTGAGAACCACTGCTCTAAGTTGTCTGATATTAGAGCGCATCCTGCTAATGGAGGTGCCGGCTCTAGGCTGAAATACAAAACTGAGGCCCTCACCACTTTGCGGTTATTAAAAAACCTCCATGGAATTCTCCATAGTAGATGGGGTGTTCGCTTCAGCTTTCTGGCTAAATTCCACATTCTGTCTACCGACAGTTATTACTATGGAATATTTTTCAAAGTCTGTCTTGCATTATTGTGTATTCTTGCTACACCAACCACGTAAAGGCTGCCATCTTCCACCCCAGAGAGAGTTGCATTTTGATGATGTAATCCCTCTATGAAATCAGTTTGTTGCGCTCTCTGGCTGAAAGGGAGTGTTTAAATGCCAGTCATGGCCATTTATTATGAGAAGATAAATACTGTAGCAGAGATGCAGCTCAAAGCTGATTCCAAGAATGCCTTACAGGGTGGCTGATTGGAATTAAAGCTGGAAGGTCAGCAGAAATGCCAACCCACATTTAAAAAAAAAGTGATGTTTTTTGTTTGCTTTCTTATTTTTGCACCTATGACCGTCACAGTTTCAAGCTTTTTCCACAGCCGTAAGGGCTTCCTTTTATCTGACTTTTAAAAAAACAAAGTTGAAACTTAAAGACCCAGCTCCTGTGGATGTAAGAAAAAATACCAACTATAGAGCTGCACACTAAAATTCCTGGAATTGACAGTACTGGATGACTGGAAAAAATATCAATATAATTATTCACCGACCATCAGGAAAAAAACATCACCAGTCATTTGCTGACTGTTGTTCTACTATCTAAAGACCTGACCAAATAGTGGAAAACATCTATTTGTAAACAATTTGTTGGGCAGCCAGTGGGAAAAAAATGCATCAAATACATTATTCATAAATTAATGGAGATATCCCATCTCCTAGAACTGGAAGGGACCTTGAAAGGTCATCAAATCCAGCCCCCTGCCTTCACTAGCAGGACCAAGTACTGATTTTGCCCCATTGGCCTGCTAAACCCAGGGTTGTGAGTTCAATCCTTGAGGGGGCCACTTGGGGATCTGGGGCAAAATCATTATTCATAAATGCTATTCAACCATCTCCAGTGAGAATGCTGTGATAGCAGCCAGAGGCTCTGCACGCCTTCACAGGGGAGTAAACACCGAAGTATTCTTCACCAGCATTGCAAAAACAAAGCAGCCTCAGCTAAACAAGGGAAATAAAGTTCTAGTCTATCAGATCCAGTACCCATCGCCGTGGGATTTGCACCCTACCTTCCTCCCGTCCATCTATGATTTGTAATGAGTTGTGAACATGAAAATCTTGGTGTCCACTTAAATGCCGACATTATTAAGCACGGCAATTTAAAAAGCACACACGCAAGCAGAGCCAAGACACTTAAACCAAACCACATTTTCCTTTATCACTTTTCTTCCCCCACATTCTTCTAGGAAGGGCTTTTTGCCCAAGTTCTTCCAAACAGGGCTTTTTTCTCACACTGTTAGCCCTTGACT